ATACTGTCCAGGTTGGTTGGATAGTTAGACCTTCTTTTCTGTTACCCGAGTGCATTAGGATTCAACCTAATGTGAAATGCCTCTGCTATTCTTCTTTCTTTATAGTTTGAAAATCCCTTTTGAATAATTTTACTATTTTCAATATCATTTTTGTAATTGTGATGGAGTGAACTACAATCACCGACTTGATTTGTAAGTTCTCTAGCTTTACAGGATTATCTGATTGTCATTTTGTGTACCTTACATGTCCTTTAGCCCTAATGAGGATTTCACGGGATGATTCTTCAATATAATAAGCATCATAATCGATACAGTCTAATTTGTAGACACAGTTTTGTGTGGAGGTAAAAAGGAACTTTATCTTCTACGTGGAATAGAGCATTCTTAAGAGTGTTGGTTGTCAAACAACCTGGACAGTAAGTATTTCTTGAAACAACACATCACACACACAATGATCTGATCAAAAGTACATACACACAAACAAACCGAATTTCAAGTTGTTATTCATTGTAGACTAACACCAGTTGGAGGTACAAAAGGAAACCTGAGAGCATTGGACAGCTGTTTCGTCCGACTAGTATGAGACTCCTCAGTAGTGAGTACTGATAACCCCATAAGGAGTTGAACCCGCCATCTTCAGGCTCTGTGACCAACACATTACCATTGAACCACTGAGTTAGGATCCAATCGTTCATATTTCCAACTTCTGTTAGCACATCCATACTACTTATTTATTTATTTATTCTTTCACTTTGACATCCAGTTACATGTACACATATTCATATCACCTTGAACTCCAGACTAATTCACTCATAAACAAAAACAACTTGTGAACGCTTCCTCACCAGTATAACGATGACATTCACGTTCACATGCTATCATCATGTATATACGACAATGTGATGTGACTCATCACCTTTCACTATTTAAACTAAGGATAACTTGTACAGGTTATATTCTGTGAAGTAGAAGCGATTTCCACGACGATGCGAAACGTCAGAAATTTATCTTTATTTCATAGGAATTTACAAACTATATTTCATTTATAATCCAATTACTGAATGCTCAACTTATTCAACTCTATCAGGTCAAATTTTGATCTTGAAGTTTACAAGATGTGTTGTAGGATAAACTCACTCCAAGGATGGTTTATGGTTACACAAGCAAATAGGCTTCTTTCTTACGTTGCATATCTGTCATTCTCAATATCTGTTACGTTATTGAATTGTAGTATTGGAAGTAAGGTTTTAAAGTTTGCTTTATATGAATTATTACCACTGAAAGGTGATGAAATTAGCGAATTGTTACCTTGAATTCTGGTATAGCTTACCTCTAGAGTTAGCAGAATATCTTTCTATGACACGAGTAGATTGAATGCTGGAGAATAGTCTGCAGGATACTAATCTGTTGTCATTATTCCTAGTGGAATATACCGCTTCAATAGCACGTCTCCATTCCACTCTCGTATCTGCAAACTTCTGAACCTGGCTCCACGATAGCTCAGAAGCTATCACTTCTTTTTCGCATGATCTCCTCCATGTCATCCTCACCATGGATGTTCAACTCGTCGCTTCCCATCTGGTTTCCACTCGAGGAACCGGCCTGGTGCATGATGTCCCCTAATGGTCTTCTCAGTGTACACCGAATCTATCTCCACTTCTTTCCACAGCATATTTGTTGAGCGATAGGTTCTTGGTTGGTTCGTTACCAGCCAGCCACAGTTCCTCGTTGCTTATTCCTCCTGGCTATCTGAGCTTCAGTATCGAGCGTAAAGTTTCTTTAGTGGTTGAATTAGTTTTACGGGATAAGGTTGCTAGCTCTGTGTACAGCCTTCCCTCTTTACCCGGGGCTTAGGACTGGCTAGTAACTAGTTAACTAGTTAACCAGCTGAGGTTCCAAAACAATTGATGAACGTAATACTGAACATTCTTTGATGTCAATTTCCTGGGAAAAATAATCTTCTCACATCCATTAGAAAGGTGTATAAGTGTGAAATGATAATATTTTCAATGTTACACATATCAATCATAATATGTTGGAATGAGATGATACTTCAGGAAGACAGGAAACGCTATCCATTCATGTTATGCATCATAAATTCAAAAAAATTTGATTGATATGCAAGGGCAAATATACCTACTACTATTACTACTATTACTATTGTTATTATCATTATTATTATGATCATCATCACTTCGATAATTGTTTACAGTTATCCTAAGTTTGTATATGTCCATCACTAATTACTTTCAATATGTGAAGATGTATTCATCCTGAATGATCAACTGTAATCATTAGTAAGTAAGTCTTGTGATTATATTTGACATTTCATAAAACTCATCAGTAATCTTTATATTCACCTGTAAAGAATAGTAAACACTATCTCAAGTTACAATGTTGAATGAATAAGATAGGAACCTTCATTGCCTAAATAGTATCCCTAGGATTACTCATATACCTTGGTGATAAGTTCTTATCCCTACAAATTCTAACTGAAGTGAGGCTTTCCTACTGAAGGATAGACTGCATTGTCAATGTTCAAGAGACGTTGACAAACAAGTGATTTGAGATCTTAAATGACACGAAGATTTATTTATTCGGTGTCAAGCTTTAAATGAAAATTATGATTCAACATTCTTGATTGAATCTTGATTACTATCGTTTTAACGGCGTTGTGTCGTGTGATCGAGCAGGTGATTACAGCATGGTACCTAATATGATTGCCAGACAAAAATTAACTTGTTACGCTTCCAAGCAGTACATCAAGATAAAAGACACAAATAGTAATGATGGGCAGTGGCTAGTAGTGGAATTCAGGATGCATATTTCGTCCTATTTGGGACTCATCAGCTGGATGTATCTGTCTCCCAGTGAGTGAGACGCGAAAGTGTTATCCACTACACCACTGAGTCACGATAACCACTTCACTGGGAAGCAGGTACATCCAGCTGACGAGTCCCGAACAGGCCGAAACGTGTATTCTGGATTCCAGTGTTAGCCGCTGACCATCATTACTATACATAGTTGAAAAGACAGTCAATATCGAGGTAGCCGCACATGAACCTATATGCCAACAGAGACAGATCAGTTCGGTTCAATCAACGATGGTGTAATATAAGCAATAACACTAAAGACACAAACAGTCTTAATAATATTGAAAGTGATAAGAATTAAAAAAAGTACAATTTGAGGAAATGCTGTACTGTGCTTCATCTGTTAATGTGTAGATTGAGAGTGAATGCATCTGCGCCACTAATACCGACTGTGAGCTATACCACCTAGAGTCGTTGATAATCAGTTTCCCTTGTTATGTGAAGGCAGAAGTTTACATTTCTTTACATGCCTCATACGAACAGTCAATCACTTCCATTTTAGTTGATCTTATAGATTTATCATACAGTGAAGGAACAGTATTGTCTACAAGACTACATTTCAGACATAATTTATTCCTCATAGTCATATCAGCATACCTATACAACTTTAAGATTTCCTTTATATAGTCCTAATTCCCTCGACCACTTTAAGATTTGGATAATAAGATTTTCCATATATCTAAGAGAGGTGCAGAATCATTCCTCTCACTGCATGTGTTTAGTGTTGGTTGATTCAATAGACAAATATTCAATCGGTTATCACTCTCTTCCGCCCTCCACTTAACTAAGATAGTTTTAAGGATTTTCACCTTGTCCCATCCGATTCAGTGGTTGTGTGTAATAGCATGCATAGCTGTTGGTGCCAAGTTTTCTATCAAGTTAACCGAATTCACCTGATATAGCACAGCAGGTTGGATGGTGACTGTCATCTTGAGGACGTCTTTCAGACAGTCTACATCTTCCTACATGGCTCAGAACAAAAGTTAGGTATTTCATCGACTGGTGTCACGTCTTCGCATGAATACCCTAAACCCTCTTCCAACCTAATCCAGCCTTTTCAATCATGGTGCGTCGAGATATGCAGTGGCTTAGCATAAAGAGTATATGTCCAAGCCATCTTAGTCTATGAAGATTCATAAACTTATCCTCTGACTTGCATTTCTTCACTAGAACCGTCTACATCAACCCCAAACAACTCAGGCCAACAGTCAGTGACACCATAAACTTGTGAGACGTGGGCCTAAAACATTTTCCGATCAAACTAATCAGTTGAGGCTTGCAATCTTACAAGTGAGTTGTCTCTTTTGAATGAGACTTCACATTGAATCTTCATGTTCCATATGTTATGAAGTGTAACCGATTGAATGGGATCACAGTTTCAGAAAGTCCAATGTTTCATGCCTACTTATGTTTGCAGAGTTAAATGCCTGAAAGTAGGTCACTGTTACATCAAACTAATGGTGAGGTCTCTAGAACTCGTTCTAGATAACTGCCAACAATTTGAGGAAGTTAAATGCATGGACATATTGGTTGGAGAGTGAAAGTGATGTCACTCTAAGTTGATCTCACAGACGAAATCCAAATCGTCATAGCATCTCGTTTATGTTTCTGCTTCCTAATAACTTTACACCACTACCGATCACATTGTCAGCCAAATCCGTACCTTGTATCATAATGTACTAGTGTTACTTAAAATAACTTGAAATGTTACATATGTCCTATCTGGCTTACAGGCATCAATTTAATACAATTTGAAGGTTTGTGGGTTTTTATTATTGATTTCAGGTTGGAATTCCTCATAAACTGATATCAGCTGGAAAAATATTGGAAACTTGGGAGAGCTGGACAGCCGTTTCGTCCCTGTATGACTCTTCAACAGCGTACACCCATCATCCCGCCAGGGTTCGAACCCAATACCTTAAGGTTCTACTGCCAGCACGTTACCATTGAGTCATTGAATCGAAATCAATGTTTCTTCAAGTGGTTTCAGTATCTATGATGAATACTAGCCTGAAATCTATGAAATCAGACTGAAAAATCCCGGTTTAGTTGTTGTACTGCAGAGAAAGAAAGAAGGAATTTGGGTATAATTCCCAAGAAAGTTTTACAATGAAAATCACAACTCACCTTAACCCATAATTTTACTTCAGTTGTTCTTGATGGTATACCAGAATCTTGAATGTGTATTACTAATGGATAAACAGTAATATCTTGTTCAGTTAATTCACGATCAATAATCAGTTCAGCTGATGTACTCCCAAGACGAAATACTGAAGCTTGATTACCAGAATACAATGTAAAGTGTAATAAAGCATTATGACCTTCGTCTGGATCACGTGCTTCAATCCGAGCTACTACCTAAAAATGTTTTTTTTAATAGTGAGAGAAAAAAGAAGACGCGATAAAGATTAAGCTGGAGACAGTAATGACCTATGAATTGACGAGAAGTCACTCATGGGTACTAGTCTGTTGATAATTTTCAGCAAAATAACCAAATAAACCTTGGATGAGGTGTGTGAGGAGCTGTTGATCTGAACAACCTTAAGATATACAAGTGTCCTAGCATGTTTGAATTGGCATATGACAAGGTTAAGTAACGCTGACAAGTCCGTTGATCATCCTTGAACCTTGTGCCAACTAGGCATCTTTATTTTCCCGGGAAAGACAAATTTCTCTTTGTATAATAAAGATATATCATCAAATAATTTTTTTAATTCTAAGGGTGACCTTTACGATTACTGGAGAGGAATCAAACTTTGTCCCTCATCACTACAAGCAAAATATTCAGCCAAATCATCGTGGAGAGACTAAAGGATGCTCTCGATTCAAAACTACCATCAGAACAGGCTGACTACCTTCAGGAAGTACAAATCATTTGCAGACCAAATTGCAACGCTACGCTACGCATCATCATAGAACAGAGTATAGAATGGCAGTCAACTGGAGCTCTACCTCAACTTCATCCTCTTTGAAAAGACCCTCGACAGCGTCGACCGAGTAGTAATTTGGAAACTGCTCGAACACTACGGTTTTAGTGCCACAAACCTTTATCAACAACTATATGAAGACGCCACATGCCAGGTGATCCACAATAGAAAGCTCAGTGCAGTTTTTCAAGTGAAGACATGAGTAAGAGAAGGCTATCCACTATCACCCATGATCTTCCTGATTGTAGTGGTCTGGATCATGCAGCAAACAGTGAGGAGCGAGAAGAGGGGGATACGCTGGACAGATAAAAAGAGCCTACATAATTTGCATTTCGCCACTGATGATTTTCGTTTAGTGTCTCACAAACTCAAAGATGTACAGGCGAGAGCTAACAAGTTGACAGAAGAAGCAGCGAAGACGGGACTTCAGGTGAACGTGGAGAAGACAGAGGTGATGATGATATCCAACCAACGCCACCACCACCACCAACAAGTTCCAATCACTGTGGATCAGAGAAACGTAAAGGAGGTAGCCTCTTTCAACTACCACGGAGGCAGCATCGTTTTGACTAGAGGTGGTGGCACAGACGAGGATTTCAAAGCCAGCCAGAATCTGAAAGACAGCAAGACAGGCGTTCATATAGCTGAAACCAGTGTGGAGATCTTCTGCACTCCACTGTACTCAGCATAAAGCTTGAACAACATCCAGATTTCTAACACCAATGTCAGTCAAGTCAGTGCTTTTACATGGTTCAGAGAAGTAAGTGGAGATGGATTGGGCATACACTGATAAGGTCGAATGGGAACATCACGCGTCATGCCAGGTTGAGAAGACTGCAGAGAAGAGAGTGGAATGAAGACGTGCTACTGAAGCCCTATGTTCCACTAGGAACCCAAGGGACAAATAATAAATAATAGTCGTAATAATAAGTTATGTGAAACAGCAGATGATACGATTGAGGCATGTCCAACTATAAATATATGACATAGAAGTAACACTTGGGCACTGTGATCGTTTGTAATTCCATTTTAGTCTGTTTATTGGATACATCATACACAGTATAGAGACAGTATCGTTCACTGGATGATGTGCTATTCGGACACAATCTATTGTCCATATTCATATCAATTAACTAATTCCTCAACTTTGAGACACAGTTTATACAGTCCCGATTTTCTCTTCTTCTGTGCGATGACAAAGGTAGTAGAATTCTCTATATATCTTGGACAGGTAGAGTATCATTTCCATTACTGCATATATATATATATATATATATATATATATATATTCATAAACAAAGATTCAGTTATCAATCTCCCCCCTTCACCCAAACAGTTTTCAATACTGTCATTCTACCTCACCCTCTTGTTTAAATTGTGTATAATTGCGTGCAAAACTAAAGCCAAGCTTATTAAGGTCTACTCATCTTGATTTGTCTATCTTCTGCACTCAGCATGCGGAACAAGATACGGATTTTCAACACCAACACCAGTCAAGTCAGTGCTTCTGTATGGCTCAGAGACTTGGCGCATCACGAAAGGGATTTCCAATAAACTACAGACATTCATCAACAACTGCTTACGCTGGCTCGCTACTGAAGATCAGATGGCCAGAATAGTTAGAATAAACAACAAGGACATCTGGGAACGAACCAACCAAGAACCTATCACGCAACAAATATGCAGTAGGAGGAAGTGGAGATGGATTGAGCATGCACTGAGAAGGCCGACTGAGGACATCACGCGTCAGGCCAGGCCCTTGAGTGGAATCCTCATGGGAAGCGACGAGTTGGACGTCCGTGGTGAGGGTGACATAGAGGAGATGGTGCGAGGAGGAAATGAGAGCTTCTGGGCTGTCGTGGAACCAGGTTCAAAAGATCTCAGAAAACAGAGTTCACTGGAGGCGTGCTACTGAAGCCCTATGTTCCACTAGGAACCCAAAGGACTAATAATAATAATAATAATAATCTTGATTTGTCTAAGTTTTTGTGCTCTGTTATTTGAATCAACCCTTGTCGAATGTTTTGACCTGTGTATTTCATCTCTCAGTCATTGCAAGGAATCTGGTAAACCGGATTATTTTACTTAATTGTATCAATAGGATCTTTTTGTGAGTTTGCTGCCTTAAATTCCACTCGAATTACAGCCAGCCTTATTGAGAATTCTTCGTAATGCTTCTGAGGAGCCTTTCTTGTATGATAACACAGAAAAGGCTTTGAATTCTCTCTGAACTCTGTCTGTTATTAATAACACCTGTATTAGTACTACCACTAGTACAACAAAAACAACAACTACTACTACTCACACCACTTCTACTACTACTACTACTACCACTGCTCACACTACTACTACTACTACTACTACTACCACTGCTCACACTACTATTCGTACTGCTACTACTATTACTACTACTACTACTATTACTACTACTACTACTACTCACACTACTACTACTACTACTACCACTATTACTACTACTACTACTACTACTGCTACTACTACTTACACTACTACTACTACTACTGCTACTACTACTCACACTACTACTACTACTACTACTATTACTACTACTACTACTACTACTACTACTCACACTACTACTATTACTACTACTACCACTATTACTACTACTACTACTACTACTACTGCTACTACTACTTACACTACTACTACTACTACTGCTACTACTACTCACACTACTACTACTACTACTACTACTACTACTATTACTACTACTACTACTACTCACACTACTACTATTACTACTACTACCACTACTCACACTACTATTCATACTGCTGCTACTATTACTACTACTACTACCACCACTATTACTACTCGTATTTTTCATTTGATTTCTCATGAATTTATTCATAAATGCATGTAGGTAATTGTTGTGATGTACAATATTCTTGGCATGTTCATTTTCTTGTTGTAGATTTCCTAGCCTACTAGTAAGTTTTCTCAACCAATCACTTCAGCATTTAACTAAGTCTACTTTTATTGAAATGATACTGTTTCACTGTGTGACATTTGTAATAAACAGACCAAAACAGAATTTATAATGATTTTACTTGACAGTAATATACAAAGAGTAAATAAATATCATACTGAAGGAATTGAGTTCTTAGAAATTATACATTTCACAAGTCAACCAGATTAGAGTAATCTGAACACTGAAAGGCTGTTTCCCTTATTTGACGTTGAGGTTATCACAGGTGTAATCGGGAAATTGTAGTTTACACACTCGGTTAGTTGACTTGCATATTTCATGATTCAGGTTGGCATTTCACACAACTGACCAGTTTTTTTTTAACTGCTACTCTGATGACAACAGGATATTCATTAAAAATCATGTAAGTTAAGATAGCCAGGTATAATCTCTAACACAAAAGTGTCATGAATCAATGAAATATACTACCATTGAGTAACTAGAGTACTTAGAAACTTTTTAAGGTGATGTAGGAATTTCGCTGGCTAGATCAAAGTTACGTAAATACAAGATGACCGTTTCGTTCTTCCATTCGTAAGTCACACTACTAGTGGCATATCAGGATAAATTTAGACTTCCTGAAATCACACCTTATGATCTTGGTTAGGAGTTTGATTTCCAGTGGAAACTTTGTTGATACCACAGTTGCGCAGTTGAAAAAAACTATTCACCTGTGACATATGTAAATGTGAACCGTGTAATTTCTACATAATTTACTAATTCATTATCCTCTTTATTTGACTAAAAAGTTAAAGAGCGAAATATCGTGATGTTCTGTTGTCTTTTAGTAAATGAAGTCACTGAAAGCACCTTACTTAATAAATCATGATAAGCTAATCAGTTTCAATCCAATTTGAAACAAAAGCTAATCGCAAAATAACGATAGCTGAAGTGGATGGTCTTCATTGTATTCTGTTCTCTCAGCTGAGTTGTTTAATCGTGAAGTTTTCATCGTCTTTCTTCTAGACAACATCATCAGCATTAACTCCAACATGGATAATCAGCTGTCAATATCTCTCCGTGAATGATTTGGTACCTTCCACTGACGAAGTGATCTGTGATTGGTTGTTTCCTTTGATTGTTATGTCATTGACTGTATAAATTTTCCTGTTCCCGCTGTTCCTCTACTTCATCTCTGATCTTCCTTTTCTTTATCATTTTCATCATTAGTTGATAGATTGGGTCTATATCTATACATCTACTCCTTACTGATTGACTGACGTGAATGATAAGCTTCTAGGAATTTTCTGAGATATCCTTTATGTTTCCTCTCTCCGTCAAACACGTCTACATTGTCAACACTGAATTCATGTCCATAGTTGGTATCCACGTGTATTGAATAACGGATAATGAAATGTGGTGATATTTAATAGCCAATTGGTGTTCATGTAAATGATGAAGGCGAAGAAGGCGACCAACTTGTCTGATGTAGTGTTGACTACAGTTATTGCAGTTGATCCTGTAAATGATATTCGGTTTATCTTATTTTGTTGTTGCATCCATTGGTGTGCGTAATAGTGTTTGGAGGGAATTTCTTGGTTTATGAGTCCCTTCAATTCAACCAAACGGTCTCAGTAATATACAGTAGGGTGATGTGTTTATTGATTTTTGTCGATGACTTTGTAGTTGATGATACACAGGATTGGTATCTTGTGATGAAGATTCGTGGGTAGCTGTTCTTCTTTAGGATGGATATCAAGTAATTTTCTGCTTTTCTGCATGAAGTTGTTGCACTGCAATGTGTTCTCGCTTCTTTGAATAGAGTCTGTTTGTAACTGATTTTATGTTGTTGGGTTGTTGCTATTGTGACCTCCTAGTGATTTGTGGTGTTCCCACTAAGACTACAACCCAGTACCAATCGCTTCAAACATCAAGATATCTGTGTCATAATACCCATTCCTTGGGTCATGGGTTCGAACCCGATTACACCTATTGAGATTTGTATAGTCAGATAATATCATTAACTTTGATACATTAAGTGTGATTCATTGCCTACTACACAAATGTGCATACATTTACTGAGAGAAAAATATTACTTACCTCTCCTGGTGGTTCACGATATGAGACACTAACATTCCCTTTACCATTAGCAGGAAAAACAACAATTGGATCATGATCATTTGTATCAGTCACATGAATATAAACTTTAGATGTTGTTGAACGTGGTGGTTTACCTTTATCACTTAATAATACAACCAATTCATAATTGGATTGTTTTTCTCTATCCAACATTTGAAGAGTTGTCAATTCACCAGTTGATATATTCACCTTAAATTTAGATGATGAACCAACTAAACGGAAAAGTAATTGAGCATTTTCATCAATATCATTATCAGTTCCAAGTAGTATACCTAATGAAATTAGAAAAAAAAAATTATTTGAGTTGTATAAATGAATTTTACATGATTTAAAATAGTCAGTGAATAGTAATGGGTGAGTTTAACGACCATCGTAGTAATTAATGTTGTACTATTTTATGGAAAATAGCCAGAAAGAATAAACAACAAGGAACTCTGAACTCTCAATGAACTAATTAATCGAGAACCTATCACCCAACAATTATGCAGAAGGAAACGGAGATGGATAGGATTATACACTGATAAGACTATTAGGGGACATCACGCGTCAGGCCAGGGCCTTCAAATGGAACTCAGATTGGAAACGACGAGTTGGGCTTCCAGGGCAAAGGTGACATAGAGGAGATGAGGTAAGGAAGAAATGAGAGTGGAATAGAGATCCACTACTGAAGCCCTAGGAACTCAAAGGAAAAATAATAAAAAATGATAATAATTTTATGGAAAAGTATTTTCTCAGGCGAAATATCGAAGCCTGATTGATCATTTCAGTAGTTACTATGGTGGCCTTCAGAGCCAGTCATATTAATCACTAAAGAAAGTAGCTTGTACTTTAATTTCGTAGAGTTTGTCTAAAAGATTATATTGCACAATACAACTTATAAATTTTGGTTTTGCTAGATTTTGTAAGCTGAATGATTTAAACCTTAAACCTTCCATTATTTTTTCGGACAACTTCAGTATGAAGTAAGCTGTCAGCTTGCGTTGATGAAGTAGTATGTGATAAATAGTCTTATCCGATTATTCTATTGGCTAATTCTGCAGCCAATGACCTTGTCTATCATCTTTGTCATTGGCCAATAGATTACGTCTTTATCTATAAAATGATGAAGATATCGTTCAGACAGACAATGAAACCTTTAAGATGAAAATATCATCAGTTATTTCAGTACCTGGATTGCATTCAGTAGGAAATATTAAAACTCGGCATTGTTGACAGTTCAGAGTGAGATCGATTCTTAGGTGTAAGCCAATCTCTTTAGAGATACAGGTGAGATGTATTAAAGCTACAGCAGGATAGGATAAGATAAATCTCCTACAGAAGGTCCTAGTGTTCATCCTCTTAACATTTCTATCCTGGATATGAATTGTTGAAGACATATAAACTAAAATTCATAGTCATACAGTCCTATTTAGCTGATATTGTAACATGACAAAGCTGTTTTCACACAAGAAGATGTTGGAAAAATAATTTCATCTAAGGTGAGAATAGGATAATGTGCATATACTAATGGTAATATGAAAGCTTGATGACTGAGATGACCTTCTAACCTCTGTCTAATTCATAAAAGTTTGTTGATCATTGAGAGTGATTTGATACTACTCATATTGTTAGTTAGTAGTGTTAACTGTATAGATGGTAATTTATTTTCATAAACAGAATGATAAGAAAAGTAGGAAAGGACAATTTAAAAAAACACAGTTCATAATAAGAACTAGTGCTGATGATAAAGATTTTGAAAGTAGAAAAGTAGTCTTGTAAAAATGAAAGTCTTGGTAACAGTCTCAATCCAATATTCCTGTGGATTGTACACCTAAGCTGTCAGGCAAAGAAATCAATGATCCACTGCATCTGGATTCAAAAGTCAGTTAAGGGAAAGCTTCTTCTAGTAGGTTAAACATGAGGATCGTCTTTTCAATGATGCTTTACAGTGCCACAAGGGTAACCTGTTTGCTGGAAATACCTACAATCGCAGATGGGTTCATAGACGCACACTTTTGAGGGGTTCCTACTAGGAAGAAACAACTGTTCAGTGCAACTAGGTTTTCAATAGTACTTCAGAAGATGTCAGTCTATGATAAATATCAACTTGAAATAAGTAAATTCCTACAAATCCACAAATTGAAACGTTATTGTACTCAATGTTCGCAGATGCATCTTACTACCACCGTTTGCCTCCAACTAACTAACATCCATCAAAGTGAATTGTGATTATAAGTCTTCTGATCTACCAACTGGCTGCATTGTGAAACTACGAATGAAACTTGATCACTCAATCACTCACACACTCACCTCATTATGAAACTCACCTACTCACTCAGTCACTCATTCACTCACTCACCTCATTCTGCAACTGACTTAATCACTCAGTCACTTACTCTACAACCCACTCACCTCACTCACTCACTTACAGTTATTCACTCTGCAACTCACTTATAAGGATGTTAAAACTTCTCTTAGTGATCTATTCGTTGTTTACTGGCTAGACACAATTATTTGCATCATTTGTATAAACAAATATCACTTCACACTTACACTACTTATCTTTCATTGAACATTGTACATTGAACAAGTGTATACTTCCTTTACTTAGATTGAAACAAAACAGATATTTTAACTTTTGATTTGTAAATTATACTGAAAACTTTTTTTTTCCTAAATATGGTTTATTTTCAACTGTCTACTTTATCAATTCAATTAGGAAGGAAAACAATGATGGTGATAAGATGAAAATTCATCTAGTTTGATGATACGATTCCTTTCTGTTTTTCTGATTTTTGTCATTTTATGAATGTTTCAATTGATCAAGGAGGTTCTTTTTCTTACCTCATTTTCATGATGATGATCATCACAAAGTGAAAATATCTTTCATACTGTCATGTTCAATGTACAACATATATAAGATATAACTTGACAGTTACTAGTTACTTATCATTGGACAGATGTGCATGTATTCTGTGTGTCTGTATATTCTAGTATCTTTACACCAAAGCATATAACTATTATAGAATATATTCAAAAAAAACTTGGTAAAACATTGAAAAATCTTGAAATCTTTCATTTCTAATGTATATCAGAAGTGACTGGAACTCTAATCAATCCTTAAGTCGATCATTTTGAAACAAAATATTATTGATTTACAATAAAACAAAATAATGTTTAGTAATGATGAGCAGTGACAAGCAGTGGAATCCAGGATGCGCATTTCGTCCTATTTGGGACTCGTCAGCTGGATGTACCCACCGGGTCTCGGAAGCGATCGCTTCAAACTCCAGCGCGTTATCCACTACACAACCAAGCCACGATAGCCACTTCTTGTGCAACGGGTATAGGTTTTAGTGTTATTGCTTGTATTACACCATCGTTGATAGGACCGAATTGATCCAGCTGATGAGTCCCAAAAAGAACGAAATGCGCATCCTGGATTCCACTGCTAGCCACTGCTCATCATTACTCAGCATAGTTAAAAGACAGGCATCCGCATAGGAGCCCATATGCCAACAGAGGCTGATCAATTCGGTCCTATCAACGATGGTGTAATACAAGCAGTAACACTAAAACCAAATAATTTTCAATTATCAATTGAGAATGGATTTAATCACCATTTAAGTATATCATAATTGACTAGAGAAACATAAACGAAGTTGTCTCTGTCACCTACCTAGGCAAGACAGCACCGTTTCAACTACATACGACACACGCACACACGAGGATGTCAAAACCATGATCACAAACACAGCAAGATAGGCTTTCATTAATCTCAAATCAGTGTGCAGATCTACTCCACTCAACTCAACTCCACTCCACTCAGCACAAAGTGTGAACAGGATTTGGATTTTCAACACCAACGTCAATCAAGTGAGTCAGTGCTCCTATGTGATGGTTCAGGAACTCGTCGCGTCACGAAAGCATTCCCAACAAACTACAGACATACATCATCAACAGCTGCCACCTACGCTGGCTCGTTACTCAATATGAGATGGTGAGAATAGTAAGAATAAGCAACAAGGAACTGTGACTGGCTGGCTGGCTGGCTGACTGACTGACTGGTAACTGTCCAACCAAGAACCTATCACACCATAAATATGCAGAAGAAGAACGTGGAGATGGATTGGATTGGCGACATCACAAGCCAAGCCAGTGCAGGTGGTCGAGTGGAATTCAAATGGGAAACGGCGAGTTGTATCTCTGATCCAAGGGTGACATGGAGAAGATCATGTGAGGAAGAAATGAGCGCTTGTGGGGAGTTGTGGCGCCAGGTTGAAAAGACTGCAGATAACACAGAGTTAAATGATGACGTTCTACTGAATCCCTAAGTTCTACTAGGAATCCGAGTGAATAATAATATGCATATCATAAACTTTGATTCCAAAGGATTTCATTACCAAGTGATGAGATACCTTCCTGGTTCGAATCCCGTTCATTTTTGGTTACTGTCTAGTGACTAAACAGTTTACCATTTAATATTAATTATCTACGGTCAACGATTATTGGTTATGCATGTATTTGAGGCATTATGGCATCATACTGAACTGCAGAGGAACTGCTTGTCAAACAATATGATTCATTCAGTGTGTATGTGTGTGTGAGTGCCAACTTGCACCAGTTTAAGCTACTAATGTGCATATTATGAATGTTGGTTAGTTGAAGGCAATTACCGGAAAACCCTTTTTAACCTATACTTCATGCATTTTTGCTCTGGTCAGTCAAGAGAAACATTTTCCCCTATGAGGTTTCGAATTGACATCACCTTATGTTTTAGTCAGAACTGAGAATTAGATAAAATAAACTTGCTTGATCACCAGTAACTAGTCACTGTACATCTTATCAATGGTAATGCACCATCTTGCTCAAATAAGTATGCTAAATGAAAGACGATCAGGCTGATGGTAACCGGTTAAATGAGTATAAAAGATTATTCGAGTTTATAACTGGTGGTTTCTGCGTCATTCGGAGTTATGTATAGGGTTTCTAGTTAAGTAACTGTTTTTGTTCAAAGTATGCGTTTTAAATAATCTCCATATTTTGTACACTTTAGGATCAAACAATGATCATGTAAAAATCTAACAAAGTGACTGTTAAGTAGATTGTTTATAAAAGATATACATTTGTAAGGTAGAAAAGTAATAAATTGGTTATATTCCGCAACCACATGCCAGCCGCTTCCTCACAGAGAGAAACCTATACAAGTTGCCACAAGTTTTAATACCAGATGCAGACAAATCAGATCACGATGAACACTAGTTAGTTAGTTAGTTAGTTAGGTAGGTAGGTA